GCAGTCGCTGCTGGCGCTACCCCAATCATCTCTGCAATCAGAGCTTTTAATTAGGTTAATTAAATTGTATCAAATCTCGCAGGGACGCAGTTCACTGATGCTGATGAGGCAGCCAAAACAGACCCCAGCTCCTCCGCTAATGAAGGCCGCTGCCTGCCTGAGCAGTGAGGGAGCAGGAGCGCATAATAAACGGGCACATCCTCCGGGAGGAGCCGCTGCCCAGACCCTGTGCTCTGAGGACCTGGAGGGGTCTGCATCTAGCAGGCCAGGCTCATACTGCAGCAGTCTTCCACCCCAGGGACCATCCCCTTCACTGGAGAACTAAGCAGCGCAGCACCCAGAGCCTGGGCAGGTAAGGTGGACAGTATCAGGCCCTGAGCACCTGCCATCCCTACGCAGCAAACTTGAGTGAGCCCCCAAGACCCACTGGTTTCGTCAGGGGCCTTCTGTTTATTTCTCCCCTAGAATGGCTCCACAAGTCTGGGATTTCCTGTCCTACACACACACACACACACACACACACACACACACACACAGCCCTGTCACCACTTCTCCAGTTGTCTTATTAGCCAGAGAGGCCAGGCTGAGACTAGAAAGCCCAGCCAGTCACTGACGGCCTAGTCTCCATCTGCCATGGAGGCCATCTGCCCCTGGCGGGGGGTGGTTTAGAATGCAACCAGCGAGGAATAGGAGGAGGTACCACCTCCCTGCCTCCATATGCCAGATGGACCCTGTACTTCTCCACCTAAAGAGCCCCCTTGAGGGAGGACACTTGTCCCAGTCCTCCTGGGGTCAAATTATTTGGGGAAGGGAGCCGGCCCCTTCCTTCTCTGTCCCCTCCCCACCCTGAGCAGACCGATCCATGCCCTGGCAATCCACCACTGGGCACTGCACCACCAGAGGCTCCACAGCTGGAGGGCCTTGCAGAGGTCCTCCCCTCCTTTGAAGCAGGAAGACAGATGCTGCCACCTAAAAAGGGGCTGTCCCTAACACTACTCAGCCTGGCTCCAGCCTCCTCCTCTTAACCCCTGGGTCTCTGGTCTCACTGCCTCTGAGCAGATAAGGAGAGAAGATGGGGAAATTTCCAGCGCTCTCAGGACAAGTTGTTTCTGCTGCAGAAGCTGGTTTTTTAGTTTAGAAAGGTTTTTTTTTTCCACCCAGTAATGTGAAAACACGAAACCCGAAACCAACCCCCCACATTCATCACATCAGAGAAGCCTTTGGGGTAACTAGGAGAAAGCTGTAAATGAGTCAGGCTGATTCAGGGCAAGAGGGGGGCTGCCCAGCTGCCTTGGGGCACTGCAGTTTCATTAACACTTATGATCTGAGCATGGCCATCAGGTGACAGAAGAAAGGACTTCCTTCCCACCTTCACCTTGGCCCCCAAACACTGCCATCCCCTGCCTAGAAAGTAACTGGGACCTTGGCCTTCTTGGGAACCAGACTCTACTAGCACCCCAGAGGGACAGAGGGCTTCAGACTACACAACTGCCCAGCATGGGCTACTCCCTTACTGAAGACGAGGTGGCAATTGCCATCACTGGGGCCACCAATTGAAACAGACAAAATGGACAGGGAGCTGAGATGCTGGGGACAGGACTTTCCTCATGTCCTAATGGAGCCAGGATGCAAGAGCAGGGAGATATTCCTTATAGTGTCTGAAGAAACTGGAGAGATGTTCTTCCTCTAACCAGGGCAGTTTAGGGAAAAGCAAGTAGAAGCATGAACTGGGAAGCCTCTCCTAGCCTCCCAAGTCTCAGCTGCAGTGGACTTAGTATACCTTTTGTCTGTTGCCACGCTGAGGATGTAACTCTGGCCTTCCCATGCTAGGCAAGAGCTCTACCAAGACAATGTTCCCAGCCATGGACCTAGGGACAGAAACTCTGCCTTGTCTTGTTTTGCAGCTATTCAACTATCCCTGCACCCATAGGGCCAGTAAAAGTCCTGCCAGCAGGGAGGCCCCGTGACCAGGCTGGCTAGAGACAGCGCACCCTCTGACCCCAAGAGGCAGCAGCACAAGCCCAAGAAACCTGCCAGCTCAGCCTGGGTTTTCAGGTCCACCCCCAATTCTTCCACTCACTCAAGGCTTCAGGCCAGGACTCCCAACCAAAGTTTGACCCACCCTTCCCCAACACCCTTTATAGGAGGCTCTGGAAACTGGCTGGCCAAGAGCTTGAGGAGGAAGAGAGCCCAGCACCACACACTACTTGCCTCACTGTTTCTCAAGTCCCAACAGGTCCTTGCCTCACCAGCCTCCACAGGCAGGCAGAGTGAGCTGTGTCTGTTGGCTGCCTTCCCTGCTGGAAGACACGCAGCTCCAATTGTTCAATGCTCCACAGCCAACAGTACCAGGAGGCAGCAACCCAAAGAGCAACTTAAAAAAATGCATGTGAGACCCCATTTCCTGGTGAACCACCCTGTGGGAAGCCTGAAGCTCTGTGACAGAGACCTAGGAAAGATCTCTGCTCCCTACACAATTCTTCTTAGAAATGGGAAGATTTTCTTCCCCATTCATCTTGGGACCACATGAATCTTAAGCTCAGGGGGAGAAGACTCTCCTTTACTAATGAGGGCTCTCCCCACTGGAATCAAACTCAAATACATCCACACTAAGCACCTCCAGGGAACATGCATCTTTGACAGAAGCAAAGTGTGGTTTGTGGGTGGACACCAGCTTGCTGAAACCAAAACCCAGCAAAGGGGCAGCAGCTCCACCTGCTGGGCCCTTTCCCACCCTGTCTCTAGGAATCAGTTTCTTCCACACACAAGAATTAAAGATTCTTCTGGAGAACAAAGTAAGGGCTTGACACTCTCCTGCTTTGTTAGAAGGACCCTAAAATGAGCCCACAAACTAAGACTGAGCCACACTGTCTGTCTCTTGGACAGACCAGGAGGTTCCACAGGAAACACACAGCCGCTGCTTTGGAGATGCTTTATACAGGAGACCTGAACCAAACAAGAGAAGACCCAACTTACAGAGAAGCACTCCACTCTGTAGGCTGCGCAGTCAGCACAGCCAGAATGGTAGAATAGTCCAGTCCATCCTCTGATCTACAGATGTGGGTTATGAGGAAACAATACCTTTCCCTTCCCCAGTGAGCCAGAACTGGGAGCTCCACCAAATACCAGATTCATATCCCTGGCCTAGTCTCAGGATTCATGAGACTGGAGTTTGTTGAGGGTTACTAACAAGGGGCAGGCAGTCTTTTCCACTAGCATCTTTAGGCCCGAGACAGCCGTGTGTCACAGAAATTCAGGTTACCTAGCCTTATCATCTTACCTGATCAATGATGGGTTTTCCTTCTTCTCCTGACCTGTGTGCATGCCTTTAAACATCACCGTTTTTGTTTGTGCACAAAAGGCTGTGTCCGTAACTGTTTATGAGACCTGAGTTACATATGAATGTGAGTACTGTGTGGGCGTACTTTGTGAGGCCTTCACACACTCCTTAGCCACTTCCCACTTCCTACCAAGCAGAGCTGAGTCAGAGTAGCAGGACCCCGCTGTTGAACCTAGGAGTAGATCAGTGTTTAGTCTGCTCGCTTAGTGTGTAACACAAGATTTCTTTCATGCACTACCTGAAAATTCTCCCAACCTCACCTCTCACTCCAGTAAGCCCCTCCTAAGCTCAAACACACCTGTGACAGATCCCTTCCCTAGCTTGGGACTCAAGTTTCCTAGGACTATCAGCATTAGCTGAGATTAGCACCTCCCCAGAAGGAAGCTCAGGCTGGGAGCACTTCCTTCCTGAAGGCAAAAGCTGCTATCTTCTGTTCCTCTGGCCCTTCTTAATTTCCAGGATGCCAAGATCTGAATTCATTGGGTACACTATGAGGCAAGACTTTCTTTCACTTTAGGTTATATATAGGCACCTAACAGTTACTCATTAACTATTAACAATAATATTTTTAAATCCTGAAAAAAAGAAAGTAAAAATCCTTTAAATGCATGTAAAGCTGTTCCTACAAGGGGATGAGGTTGAGCAAGCCTCCTAGAGCCTTGTTCCCATTGTGTTCTCCCACATTTATTCTTAGCATGCTCAGTCTTGTTCCAACTGGCCTCAGCCTATATCCCTATATGGACAAGGAAGAGAAGAATGGGACCCTGGGAAGAAGAGGAAGCTGGCCCACAGGGCCTGGGTCTGTATTCCCAGTGTGAAGCCATCTGTGATTCCAAGGCCTCAGAATCAAGAGTAGCTGGAGGCCAGAAACAGAGCAAGTTCTAGTATATTCTGATTTGAGCTTCATCCAGGAAAAACTGGTGCCCCCCTGAGTTATTTAGTTCCAAAGTTTTCCAAAGGTTTAGTTCCTTACATCCACCTATAGATGTAAGGCATAAGAAAAAGAATTATCCTTGGATGATTTATGAAACCATCTGAATAGCCAATAAAAAGATAAATGAAGGAAAAAAAAAGATAAATAAGGAGCCGGGCATGGTGGCACACACCTGTAATCCAGTACCCAGTAGCTGGGAGACTGAAGCAGGAGGATCACCACATTAGTTTTCATAAGTTCAAGCCCAACCTGGGTTACCTAGTGAGTTTGAAAACCAGCCTGAACTGCATAGTAAAACCCTGTTGTAAAGCAAGAAAGAAAGAAAGAAGACAGACAGACAGTCAGTCAATCCACTGAACAGAACACTAGATAAGCATAAAAATAAGTATTCTGATTTTTACTATATTACTTATGAAAACTTCAGTGATGTAACAGAAAGATTCAATTAAAAATTGGATGTAAAATTATTTATTAAAATTATAGTTACAAAACAATATAAAAATTAATGCACAACTTTATAAAATTAAGTAAAACAGAATGCTCACCATTGTTCACCTCTGTAATTTTAGTTCCCCGTAGCCAATAATTACTTCTTGTTCTTGAATAAGTATTAAAATTAAGAATGAATTAATCTGTTTTCTACTTTGTTGTAATGATATGTAACTTCCATAGTGAAAAAAATGTAAGTACTGTATAAAAAAAGTAAGAATGATTTGACAAATCAGAAACAATGATACGGGGAAGGGGCTTTAATATTGCTCACGGAAAGACATCAATAATAATTCATGGTTATAAACAGGAAAGCCATGCCATTTGAACTAATAGGTAGGCCTATGACCATGCCACCCAGAATATGACTGATCTCATCTGAAATAATGGAATTTGAAGTTATTACTAAAAATTGAATTATTTTTTATGCAAATGATAATAAGGCTTATCTATAACACTTTAGCGCTTCCGACGGCTCTGAAACTTGTAAATGGCTGGGGCATTCACTGTTTCTTTCTTCACCTTCACCTTCTGAGTTTTATCCTAAAAAAAAAAAAAAAGACGATCAGCAAACAGATTTTTGTAAAATAGGAAGGTTAAAAAACTACCAATGAGAAAGCCACTGGTTCAGTCCTTAGCAAGAGCCCTACTGCCCTACGTGTCTGCTGTATGCAATGCCTTACCTTTTCCTCTGGGCATCAAGAATGCTATTAGCTATGTACAGTCCTTGGGAAAATTAAAGGGAGGTGTTCAAATAATTTTAAAATTATAATTTTAATTCTGTCACGGAACCCCAGTTGAGAAAAGCTGACCTCAATGATCTGCAAGGCTAAAGAATTTGACATTTAGAGGAATGATAATAATATGAAAGAGGCATCTTATATTCCTTAGCTCTGCTATTTAACTACACAATGTTGTCTATTTTTAAACACCAATGAGTGACATGCACTGTTTTGTTAACCTGTTTAAATGTTACAGGAGCTGCTCATAAGCTATAAAGTTCATATGCTACCCGATCCTACCCTTTGCTGTTCCAAGGCACTGACTAATAACCCCCTTATTACCTTCTTAATCAAGGAACATTTCAACACTGTCAGAGCAATAGACACTGGCTCAAACCACTGCCCCTAAGGAGCAGACATTTTCACTGGGTTGATTTAACACAGCTGAAATCCAGTCTCAGTTAAGACCTTTACAAGAAAAAAAGAAAAAAAAAAAAAAAAAGAGAAAGCCTGAGGCTTCCTCTCCTCACCATAAGATCCTTGCGTGTTTGAATTTTCTGTGCAATAACGAATAATTTCTTCTCTCGTTCAATCCGCTGTGTCAGGCAGTTATATTGCTTTTGTCTTTCTTTAGCTATCCGCTATAGAAGAAACAGATCTTTTCAGTAAAACAATTAACAAAGCAAACAAAGGAGTAAGAAACTGATTCTTAAGCCACATAAGCCCAAATGCATAAATGGTTTCATTAATTCCCTCCTTACCCCAGAATCAACATAACGTAATTATATGAAGCTGTCAATTTTAGGAATATCACATTCTAAAGCTCAAAGGAACCCTGGAAACAATCTTACCAAAACTGTTACTTTCCAACTGCAGAATGAGGGATGCCTAGAAAAAAAAATAACTGACCCAAGGGCACAAGGTTCACTTGGAGCACAGTCAGGTCGTCCTGAGTCTCTTAGATTCCAGGAATGTTTCCACTACTACTCTAAGCTGCTTCAGCCTTTGTGTCAGTGCCTCAGTCACCAGAGCTGATGACAAGAACACATCAGTGAACAGAGAGCAGGCAGAGTGCTGGTGCCTGAGAATCAGAATTCAAAGAGAAGGATTTTTTTTTTTTTTTTTTTTTTTTCAGCAGGGGCTAACCTGAGAATCCACATGGCTGATCACTCCCTCAAAAATCTAGTGGGGGGTTGGGGGACTGGGGAGATAGCTCAGTAGAATAACCTGGCAAGCACAAGGGCCTGAGTTCAATTCCCGGTTCTGAAAAAAAAAAAAAAAATCTAGAGGGGTCCTTAAGTTCGGGGAAATCTGAACTTCTCAGAAATGCACGAAAGCTCTAAATTCTTTTTCGAGATACAAACTGAATAGACCTCATTCCAAATGCTTATGCCCGAAAGTGTTTTGGATTTAGAATTTTGGGAGATTTTAGGATGTAAATAATGTAAATAATGACATATATTGGAAGAGACCCAAATTTAAACATGAATTTCATTAATGTTTGAATAATGTTTATACACACGGTCTGAAGGTAATTTTAAACAATATTTTAATGTGCCAACATTTTAGCTGTAACCATCAAGTGAGGTCAGGTTAGGAACTTTCTACTTATGGCATCACATCAGCACTCAAAATGTTTCAAATTTTGGAGCATTCTGGACTTTGGAGCTTTGGATTAGGAATGCTCGACCTGTATCTACCTACTTGTACAAAATTTCAGTGCTGGGAGGGGTGTTCACAGACCTCATGAAGCCTACGGGGTGCTCAGCCCCTCCAAGTTATACACTTGCAATTCACCCACCAGGAGTCTCTTAATAGAAATAATTTTGCTTTAAACAACACTGAATCAAACACCACTAGACAAAAATGGCAATATCCAAATCTTCTCAAGAATTAAAATGATGAACTATTCTACATAGGAGTATGGAATACTAATCTCTTCAGGGACTACCACAAAATCCTTGTGAAGTGTCAGTGACACAGCTAATTGAAAATACAACTAATTGACAATCAGGGTTCTCACGAGAACACTAGTCAGCCAGCTCCTCAGCTGGAAGTGTTAGCTACGTAAAAGGAAATATTATTGGGCCTCAGATTTCAACAATTCACCGATTCTAGCATAGTCTCACAGCAGTGGTTTCAGACAGCTTTTGTTTTCACTTTATTGCACAGACTGTCAAATTTATGGGATTACCCAATATAGTCAAACTAATTAGGAGTATTTATATTACTAAAGCAAGTTTAGCTGCCTCTGAGCTAGAGAAAACTGCTGTGAAATTAAACATTGGAAGCAAAACTGATGCGGTGTAAATGATTCAAATCAAAACAGAACAGCTGTCTACTCGAAACACACTGACAGCATTTTTTAAAAAATGAATCAGTCAGAAGTGAGAGTTCAACTCCAGAAGGCTTTGAGGAAAAGCACGTCTTCTCCATCGCCCAGTTATAGTGATGGAAAGCACCATAAGGGAAAGTCAGTATGAAATTCTGGTCATAAATGCATACTATGAAAGACTTTTTAATATGGATATTCACTGCCAATAGTTTAATACTGAAGACCTGTACACAACATCCATCCCTAAATCTCCAGTATTCCCTCCTTGCTTGGCATTTTTTAAATGTTGGCATCTGTTTTAAGTATTAAAACCACAAAGAACAGGGCCAGAGCTACGATTATTCAAACCCAAAGCTAATGGCCAAAGCCTAAACCCCTGACCAGTAAGGATAACATACAACCCCACCCCCCAGCACACTGCCTGGTAGCCTTTCTGTTGCTCTCTATTCTCCATCCTAATCATCAAATGCTCTTTACATTTTTCTAAGGAAACTCAAGGAGCCTTCCAGAGAGAAGTATATAAAATATAGTAGGAAAAAACAAAATCTTCCAACTCCCCAACTCTGTAACAATGGAGAAAATTACCTTAAGTCGAGTCTGATGGGTAACTCCTTTCACTCTTTCCTTCTGCAAGGTCTCTATCTTGGGTCTGTTAAAGACTCTTCCAACTAGTTCTGGGGCTGTCTGTAGATGAGTGGCAATATCAAACTGTTCAACTTCTTTTTTGGTATCAAAAAAGAACACATGTTTATTCTGTTGCTTTCCCTGGAAATCCAGCAGATGGAGCTCTGATTTTAGTCTTTCAATTTTCTAGAATACAAACGATCTCACTTACTATTGGGTTCTTCTGCAGTCTCAGAAATAAATTTGCAAAATTTTAGATCATTTCACATCATTATTGCCAGCCAGCAAAAAATTTCATTCTTTTAAGTAAAAGAAAAGACCACTACAATTTATTAACAACTACATGTCCTGGTATTGGGTGAGGCATTCCACAAAACTCACTCAATCCTTACACCAATCCTCTCAGATGGAAATAAGGGAAATGTCTCAAAGAGATTAGTTTACTCATAGTTACAAGGCAAATAAATGGGAGAGCCTGGATTTAACCTGTGTTGTTCTCCAACTTGAACTCTCTACTCCACCATGTTCACTATAAGTCTAAAGCAGTAACACAATCAATCGTAATTTAAGATTGTAACTGCCAGAAGAAATTAACTGATAACTGAAGACTGACAGGTATGTTTCCATTTTTAACCAATGAAAATATAACAGAGTAAGGAGTAAATTTTTACCTTAGCTTCAGCAACCCTTTTCATTTCTATATATTTGACATCCTGAGTTCTCATTAGCTTTAGCTGTTCTGGAGTTACTTCTTCCTTATTCTCCTTAATAACGTGAACTCCATCCTAAAATCCAAATTTAAAAAACACATTCCTTATTAAAGTAAAACCATTAATAAATTGTTGGTATAGCTTGTAGATACAACAAAGACCAAATGTTGCACCATAACAACAATCCAAGGTTGTTGGTACTAAGTTCAGTACAGCACCTCCAGCCATCTACTTAGAACAGATTTATACATTAAACAATTCAATATACAGAAGGAGAAAGCCAGGTGCAGTGGTGCACACCTGTAATCCCTGCACTTAGGAGGCTGAGGCAGGAGGATCACTGTGAGTTTAAGCCAGCATGAGTCACAAAGTGAGCTAAAAAAAAAAAAAACAAAAAAACACACAGATAAACAGATGCTGCACAAGAAGAGCCAGATCTCCATTGGACTCTGACCAAGAGTACCTAAACCAACTGGAAAAGACCAAAACTAAAGCCAAGAATCCACCCTCTCCAACTCCTTCCCAAGCTTTAATTTCCAAAATTTGAGGCTTGAAATACCAATTGATCCATCAGAAACCCACCTGGAGCTTAACCCGAGTCATTTTATAGTAGAATTCATCTGGATTTTTTTCAAGAGCCTTCTTTCGAAGACCTTTGAGGAACTCTTGTTTTTTATGATAGTCACTAAAAAAGCAGATGAAATAAGATTCATTGAAACATATTCACTGAGCAAACTTCACAGCACCTAAAAATTCCTATGAAATGAAATTCAAAAATACCAAAGCAATGACTGGAGCTGACCCATATTCTACTTTCACTGAAGTGGGCTCATGTCTCTATAGGGTCCACAATCTACAGTCCACGCCTATCCCAATCATACCCAAAAGTAGCTGTTCCCACCCCACATTTGTCTTAGTACCACTCATCCTTACAGGGGGTCATCCAAAAAATAAATTAAAAATAAAAATAAGAGCACAAAACTCCTCAGACAGGGTTCTGGCACAAGTTTCATATCAAATACCAGAATGAATCAGAAACTACACAGTACCATATACCTCAATGACTAGAATGGACTTTGGAGCCACTGAGTTCTACCACTTACATTCTACCACTTCTGGCTAAGTAACCCTGGATAAGTTAGTTAACTCTTTGCATCCCAATTTCATCAGTAAAATGAGCATGGTTCTACTAACCTATTCCCAGAAGACTGTTGGGAAGAAAAAACTGGAAATCTAGAACACTAACTAGTACAGTAATAGCACACAAGTATTACTTCCCCCCCGCCACACACACACACTCAGGTATTACTATTAGCCTTAAAAATCTCTGGTTTGGGGCCGGGGAGATGGCTCAGTGGAATAAGCACTTCCCTGGCAAGCGCAAGGGTCTGAGTTCAATCCCCAGTTCTGGGAAAAAAAAAAAAAAAAAAAAAAAAAATCTCTGGTTTCCTAGCTGGATGTGGTGGCACAGGCCCGTAATCCCAGCAATTGGGAGGTTGAAGCAGGAGGATGGCTGCAAGTTTGAGGCCAGCTTGGGCCACATAGTGAGTTCAAGACCAATCTGAACTTCATAGTGAGACTCTGTCTCAAACACAAACACACACAATCTCTGGGACCTACAGAAAGCCATTTAATCCATCAATACCATCTACACCATGAGCATAACAAAGATATCATCTGACATGTATCACTAACAAACAATTAAGTATTTTGCAAATGAAACGCTAAAGAAAAAAGAATGGACATAACTGTCTTATGAAACATTTTCAAAGTTCATTATCACCCACACTCAGTCTCATTTTCACATCTTCTCATTCCACATCACAACACAGTAATTTAAGAGACTTGATGAATGGAGTTTCAGATTATTATCTTACACTTTAAGGAAAGGGAAGAAAAATTCAGCTTTTGGTTCAAACAACAGGGCAGAAACAAAACAAAGCCACTGTAAGATATTTATCTGGAGCAACATTACAAAAAAGACTTAAAATTCAACTAGTTAAGTAAACCTTCTGTCTTAACAAAGGGAGAAGTTTCAGGTCATAGAAAAATATCCAACAGGCTGCCAGAGCTTTGGCCATTTTATCAATGGCAGGAAATTATTCCCCAATGGACACTTGGACACTTTAGCCAGTCTGGGAATGTTGTAAGCTTTCTTGGCAGCACCTCTACCAGAAAGACGGCACTCACTCTGCACGAAGTTTGTAATCTTTCTTTTTCTCCAACAGGCCCAGATGTTTTCGAAAGCCAGGCTAGAAGATAAAAGAAAAAAAAAGCACTTAATTTCCTCAGCAAACACATGCTCAATTCAACATGACACCTGATCAGCACAAGAGTCCCAGAGTACTCAGTAAATCCTTGTCCTTGGAGCTAACCCACTACCCTGTTCCACTCCCCTCCCCCTACTGGGCTCTGCCCAAAGATGAGAGGGACCATGCAGGCGCCAGGCAGGTCGCAAGCACGGCCATAGTATGTTCCTTGGCCTATTAAGGACAGGGAGAGGCAACAGTGACTCTGCACTAAGCAAGCAGTTGCCAGTTGTACTAAAATTACTACCAGCTTAATCCATGGGTTTACAAAATACTACAAAGGGAAAACAGTAACAGGAAGCCAACTGTGGTTAAGGGAGCTAAATTTAGAATATGGAGACCTTGGGTCAAATCAAAGCTTTATCTTTTAAGCTGTGACCTTGGACAAGTCACTTCACTTCTCTGAGCTCTTTCCTAAATGTTAATTAGTAACAATAACACTTTGCAAAGTTACTGTACGGATTCGATGAGCTTCCCTAAGTGGTAATATCTGTTTGTGGCTTGTCACACAGCAAGTGCCTGGGTAACTGGACCTTTGGTACAAGGTATGAGAGAAAAGTAAGCATGACAATTGTTTCTCTGACACAAATACTGATAATCTGGAGCATGCAAAGATTGAATCTTATCATCTTCCCATAAACAATTATATGTTGAACATTTAATCTATGTCAGAAACAGTACCAGGGGTCAGGGAGATGGTTCAGTAGAATAAGCGCTTGTCTGGCAAGCGCAAGGGCCTAAATTCAATCCCTGGTTCTGCCAAAAAAAAAAAGAAAAAGAAACAGTACCAGATGTTTTTGTTTAATTTTTTTTTTCCTGTATTTCAGGGAAGGGTCTACAATGTGTTCAGGGTCTCACTACTAAATTGGACTCATAGTGATTCTTCTGTTTACAGCCTCCCAAGTGCTGGGATTACAAGTGCCCACTACCAGCCCAGTCTTAATCACCGTCTCAGCGCCCAAGGGATTGAACCCCTGGCCCCTGCACCTGCCTGCAGGCGCTTTAATCCACTGAGCTATTTGGCTATTTGGCCGGCCCTCAGATGTTTTTGTTTGTTTTCAGATGTTTTTGCTTACAGCAACTTCATAGGCTGCATTTATTAGGCACCTACTCTGTTACAAAGCAATGATACTATCTTCATTACACAACCTCAGTTCTCACAAGAATCACAAAGAGCAGCTGCTCCTCTTTTTGCTCTTCTTGTTTTATGCCACCATGAACTGTTGCCCTCTGCCATGTGCCACCTTGTCTCGGAGCCAGTCTAGTATGGACTGAAACTTTCACAAACTGTGAGCCAAATAAACCTTTCCTTTCCTTAAAAAAAACTAAAAAAGGGGCCAGCAAGATAGTCAACTAAGGCAAAGCACAGGGACCAGCACTTGATTCCCGGAACCATATGCCATGCCCCAGGGAGTGCTGAGCCAGCCACCTAGACTGGGCGTGGTGGCACACACCTGTAACCCCAGCAGTGGGGGAGGCTGAAGACAGGAGGATCACTACGAGTCTGAGATACATAGTGAGACCCTCTACCAAATACATAAAATTAAATTAAATTAAATTAAAATAATCACTATTAAAAGAATAACTATTGTTACACCAATTTTCCAAAAGGGGGATAAAGGTTAGAGAAGGACATACCAAAGAATACTGAGCCAGTAGGTGGCAAAGCTAAAACTAGAACCCATTCTGTCTGGGGCCACAATGTGTGCTTTTCTATAGTGTATGGCCATACTCTATAGAATGCATCCTCTTTTGCTTGGAACAATTTTTGCCTCAGAGGAAGCACATACACTTCTAATAAACTTACATCATAATTTTGGTGGCAATGGACTAAAGCACCTGCTTAGGCAGAGCACAGAGGCTGGGGTTCGATCCCTGGTGTGCTGTGCCAGCCCCACCCCCAGGGCACACTGAGACAGTGATTGAGACTGAGCGTGGTGGTGCATGCCTGTAATCCCAGCACTTGGGAGGCTGAAAACAGGAGGATCACTATGAGTCCAATCCATGTAGTGAGACTCCATAGATCCTGCAGACCCTGTCCTAAATACAGGAAAATAAATAAATAAATAACTTGGTGTGAATGTTAATAGTCATCTTTATCATCTTCAAATGATACAATAAATAATTCAATATTTAAAATAACACCCAATAGGGTTGGAGATGTAGCCCAGTGGCACAAGTACCTGCCTGGCAAGCACAAGAACCTGAGTTCAATTCCCAGCACCAATAAATAAAGAAATAGGGGTTGGGGAGCTGGCTCAGTGGAATAAGCGCTTCCCTGGCAAGTGCAAGGGCCTGAGTTCAGTCCCTGGTTCTGCCAATAAATAAATAAATAAATAAATAAATAAATAAATAAAATTTTTTAAAAGCCAGGCACTGTGGTGCATGCCTGTAATCCCAGCACTTCTGAGGCTGAGGCTGGAGAAGACCCCTTTTTTTGAGACCCCCTTTTCTCAAAAAGACAAAAATAAATAAAAATTAACAAATAATAAAATAATACCCCAAACAGCTGCTGGTAATTCTTGTTTTCCTCCCTCCTTGATAATTTTTATTTTAAAAACAATAGATGAAGGGAGGTTGACACAGTGATGCAATTAAAGTCAAGGGTTAAAAAAGCAACAGGATGAGGCAAAAACTATGAAATTTGTTGTGTCCCCTTGACTGTACCTTTGCATTAGAGAAGGCCGGTTGATATTTCACCTGAAATAGCTTACATAAGTTGACCCCTTCCATACAAAATATCTGCAGCATCTTCCCCATTACCTCACTGAAGGACCCACAGAGTTAAGTCCAAATAGGTAATAGGGGGCCAATGTCTTTTTCCTTCTTTCAGCCTGGACTGTTCTTTTCTCTTCCCTCGAAGCCCTATTTCTACTTAGGCACAGCTATGGCCATCCCTGAACACCTTTTCCCTTCTCTAATAATCTAAATCAAACTACCTATAACCATAATTGTCTTTGGATACAACATTCAATCTCCTTACACACCAGATACCTTATTTGTAAAATAAGAATAACATCCACCTCATAAGGACATTGTAGAATTATGAACCAATCCTTATAAAGCATGTCGGGCTGCACCTAGCCTACTGTAGTGCTCTGTCTTTAGGCACACTGCTCTTTAGGCGAACAAGTTTCACCATGATGTTCTCTCATCGTTTCTATTCTTCCCATTCACATTTGGCACTTTTTATGTGCCATTCATCATACAGTTGCCTCTTTATTCATCTTTTAGTAGCTTCTGGATTCAAAATACTTGATGTGACTTCTGTCTTTCCCACTTGCCAGTATGTCTCTGGGCAAAGACAAAACCTATCTGAACTTTGATTTCCTCTTCATTGGTGTCCCATATATATACTCTCCCAAACAAGGGGATCAACTATACTCCCACTCAACTAGACTCAGTATACTTCTGAGCAGACTGAAAACGCACAATAAATGCTATCAAGCAAGAAGATTGAACTGTGGCTAAGAGGCCTTAGTTCGATATCATCACTCACAGATGCTTTCCTCATCCGGAAAATGAAATTGGACCAGCTTATCTCCAAAGGCTTTTCTGAATCAGATACATGGTCACTCAGAGCAATCCAACGGATACATTCATTCTGCATACAAACTTATATCTACTCAACCTCTCCATACAGACACATCCACCTCCAAAATCCTAGCTTGTTCTTCCGAGATGGCATGGTCCTAAAAGGTCAAGTAACGCTCTGGACCTCAGTTTCCCCACCTACATCTGGGATGGAAAACACCAACACTGCAAGATGAGGCATAAACCAAAATATAGGTGGAGACTTTTGCGAACCCCAAAGCGCACACATAATGATGGCAGATTAGTAACACCAATCTCTTCGGCCATGGACCTTATAAGCAGCAGGGAGAGCTGACTGTGGATGTAGATTCCAACTTCAGCCAGGTTGGGCTCTGGCCTCAATCTTCTCACTGAAATCTTGTAAGGCAAGATAGGTCTGATTAACCCCAAATATTGGGGACCAGCCGGTGCTCTCTATGGAAAGAAAAGGACAAATCCCCGACCACAGCTCAGCCTCAGCCATATCCGCAACACCAGCAGTATTTACGCTTTTCTAGGTACAGCTGGGACCCAAGCCCCGGGTCCTCGTGGGGCGTGGGGCGAGAGCCCAGGCGGGCACGGAAAAGTCCCAGGAGGGCTGTGCGGTCTTACCTGGCTTCGCTCTCGGTGTTCTCGCTGCTGGGACTTAGCCGCCTTGCGAAAAGCCGCCGCCATATCTGCTCGCTAGGTACTACAGGACCTAGCTGGTCCAGACTCCTCAATACCTCGCTTCGCGTTCCTCAAAGCCTTGCTGACGAGTCACCGCCGCTACCGGAAACAGATCCTGCCGCGGCCACTTGGAACCGCCCACTT